TACACGTTTTTGAAATGACAGGTCCTCTTAGGCTCTGGGGTCATGATTTGTGATTGAAACTATTTGAAACCGTTGTACCCACCACGCGTAAAATAGATTGTGTTGTGCGGCAGAACGAATGCTCTAGGACGGACCTGTTTATCCGAAGTCATTGTTATTTACTACTTTTCAAATTCAATTTCCCTAGCGAAAGTCATAGGACTTTAGCTTTATTATATCTTCATATCGTTAGTAATAACACAAAAATTAGATTTTGCAATGGCTGCCCGCTGATAAAATATTAAAACACCCCAGATGAAATTACAACGGGCGCCATAAAGGATAGGTTCCAAATGAAGTCCCTTCATTACGCCAAATGACGTCTATCAAGGCATCCACACACGCCCGGGAATGCAAGGCTGTTCCACACGTATTCCGATAAAGCCTAGAACACACAGCCGTGACCTTGCCCATACTCCACATTCCGACGGCACCCCAACAAATAAATAGCCGCCCACTGCCATGGACTTCAAGTTGATTTGAATAAACTCTATAATGTCTACTCTATAGCTATAGTTTGGTAAACTTTGTTTAACAGTGCTGTAGCTGGAGACAAAAAACATAGTTACTAATTACATTTCATCATCATGGCATCATTTCAGGCATAAGAGATCCACTGCCGAACATAGGCCTTTCCAAATGATTTCCATAGTAGATTACATTTAACATGTACCTATGTTATGTAAAGCCAATTTTGACTGTCTGTATTATTTCACCTTGTCACGCCTTAACCTAGGAACCGATTGAGATGCAATTTGGTAAGATTGAAATCGAAGCGAAATCATAGGATAGGTTTTTATCTTGACTTTTGAAAGGTTTAAAAAATCACTGCCAGTTAAAGTATTAGTCAGTTAGTAGTATAATATGCTAACCCATGGGTCCTAATAAGTTACAACACTGGGAACAAAGTTTTGGAAAAAGGTTAACGTGTCCTTAAAAGTACTATTGTGGCTTTAATATCTCCACTAATGCCTAGTGCTATTGATCCTCTATTTGTTCGTTAGTTACTCGACCTGAATCTTTAATTCTGCAGTAGCCGTCTCCCACATTCCCCTGCGGCCAGATTCGAGGGTGGCAAACACTCGAATTGCCGGGAACATCAGCCTTGGCCAGGGAATGAGTTTACTATTGACGGATTCGCCAAACCTATTGGTTCTATATTGGTTTTGGTTTGGTCTTAAATTAGTTTTAGTCAAATATTTACACTTATTTCTAGGGGATAATTCATCTTCGTAGTACACGCTCTACCAATTCTAGCTAACTACTATATTATGACTGTTAAAACTATTTATTTTATTTTTTCCATTGTTTGCGATGTTTTTGCTGTGTTACTATCAGGCTTATTTCAGGATGTTTTCCATACCTGCTAGAGCTATTTAATATTCTATACACAATGATACACTATATACCTAATACATATGTAGCGTTTACGAATACGTGAAGCTTTACGTAAGTAGGTTAATGTAATACATATTTACTTATTCGAAGCCCGTAAACGTACGTAAACAACATAGTAGCAACATATACGAGTATTAATTAGGTACATTGATGATATATAGCACTTAAAAATTCTAAATTGAGGCCTGAAGATAGCTACATTTCAATATTTAAACCGACAAACTTGAATATTACATATTTTTGAATGTAGAGTCATATTTGAGTAGGTATGGTTTAATAATACGGGCATGAACCACAGAATTGACTCTATGCTTGAGTTTGTAGAGTTATGAGCGACGTTTCATGCTCGTATGTACATAATGTGTAACTTGTGACCCCTTACGGGTTTGGAATGAGTAAATATTAACATAAACTTACACAAAACTTCACGTAATCGTCAGTCAGTCTATTTTATAGACTACTACTCGTACTACAGTGAGATGAAACCGATATTAGGAAATACTTTCAAATACAACGACCGATTTTTATCTTAATCCTGGACAGTCATGGCGAAATTAATTATAAATATCGATTCATTCCCTTCACGAGTTCCTATAACTTCGTAATCACTTAGGCATCTCGAAGGTATTAAATTCCTCAGACAGCTGCCAAATTATCTCCGAAGAGGGTTTGATTTCAGCGTCCTCGAAGATGGAAGTTTATTCGACTGAAGGAGTTCTGAGGGGAACCTCAGTAGATTAGAATCTATCGTTGCTAAGTAAAGGTGGGTTGCTAACATCTGTTATCAGTTACTAGTGAAACTACGAACTGTAAGATTGAGGTGGTAGAGTCAGCATCAAAAGTTAAATACCTATTTCACTTTGATGTCGGCGATCTTGAAAGTGTAGGCGATTTAGAAATGAGATCCACAAATAATCAATAAATACATGGGTATTTCGTTAATAAACATACGATTTCGTTAAAAATAAATAAATAATATGTTTGTTTGTCAAACAATTTTGATACGGTGTAGTCTGTAGCTTTAATGGCCTAGCATATTTTGATATATTTTAGGAAATTCAAGACGACATTAGATATAGAGAGAGCCCGATCTAAAATATTTGAGTTAAGACCGTCCTTTCTGCAAAACGAAAACACATTAAAAACAACTTCTAAAAAATAGGATACCTGTGTTGTTATGAACGTTAAAGCCGTAAGACACGACCTTGGGCGGCTCCTGTATGCGTGACAAGACAATCGATTCTCTGCCTACCCTACCCACCTTTGTGTAATTATTGTTGTTTATTTGCGGGGAAGTACGCCACATATTTAACTCAAAAGCTTTGGGAAGTGGAAATCTGAGTATAAAACATAGGCAGAACAGTACATAATTGTTACAGGTTGTTGGGGCAAAAATGTTCTGTTGGTACCTTGAAAAAGAGTTTACTCGGAAGAGTTGTGATGAATAAACATAACATAATGAGGGCTATCGTTTTTATACTTAACAGTTGGCACCCCTGGCCATTGACAGGACCTTACTCTACAGTGGCGCCATCTTAATGAGTGCAAATGCGATAGTCCTCCTACCACTTTAGCGCTCACCAGTTGGTGCCACTGTCTTCGCGACTAGCAAGTGACAGGACCTTACTCTACAGTGGCGCCATGTTAATGAGTGCAAATGCGATAGTCCTCCTACCACTTTAGCGCTCACCAGTTGGTGCCACTGTCTTCGGGACTAGCAAGTGACAGGACCTTACTCTACAGTGGCGCTAACTGGTGAGCGCTAAAACGATAGCCCTCATTAGATTGATTTTTTTAAAATAGGATTCACAGATATGATCGGATCACTTAGTTACAACGTTCATAACTTCGACATCTTGTTCCCTATGTTTACTGGATTTCAGTAATTTTAATTAAGTAAGTAGGTACGGCACTTAAGTATTCTGAAGTTTCCAAGGTCAGTGCTCTACATTCCAGTCGAAATACTTAATTAAAGAGGCTCGTTTCATCTTCGTTTGATGTTTCTTTCTTTCAAAGGATTTAATTTTGTTTTTAATAATTAAAGAATAATCTACACAAGAAGTTCGTGGTGTTAAACGAAAGTTCTATGCGAAAAGATAATATTTAGACAATCGTAATTAATTAAGTTCTTTGACCTTAATGGCGGCAGGGGCACGATGATAGGCTACAGAAAAGAATAAATTAATTTCTAGTATCCATTTGTGTGAAGTATAATGGCTTTTAATAAAATCCACGTCCAGGTTAATTTATAAAAGATTAAATTAAGACCGCGATCGACAATACTGTAGAACTAGCGGAATTTCGATCCCAGTAGCTGGATGCGACAAGCCGAAGATGGTAAAATGGCAGGTACTTATTGGGGGAGACATATTATGAGCAGTAGTGGACTGCTGATTATGATGAAGTGGACTGAGAGTCTGAGATAGAGACCTTTGTACCTACGTGTATTTTGTCAATAGCAGGCTCTATGCTTTATACTTTACGTTCGTTGGAAGATTCTAATCGCTCCATCAACTAAGGAACAATACTGTAACATATTCAAATGAGTGTTTCTCCGAGCCCCATTGCACCGCGACAGAGAGCTGCGTGTGCGCACTTATAGCAATTAACAGTAATTGAACCGCACGATAACCCGCCAAATGCAAGCTTCAAAGCAGACGTCTTTTGTTTCGTGTTTATTTTAGTTCTTAGACCAACTCCTTAATGAGTCATAATAGCACAGTTCTATGACTAATCGTTTTGGACTCATTGACGTGTACCGTTCTTAAAAGATAAATAATTTTCTTAGTAATTTCCTTTCGGAATTGATTAACCTTTCATACAACTAATAGTAATGTTCCAATTTAAGTTTCAACGAAAACAATAACATGAAGTTTTTCAACAAATATTGTAGCAAAATAACAGATAAACAGGTACTTAATTCGTGGTTTCGATACCCGCCTTCCTTAGGCAGTTCCTTTTCTTAATTTTTTTTATAATAATTCATACATATCAAGGTTTTTACTATCCTTAATGTTACGATAGCGCGGCGCACGCGCACCCAATCTGTAAGGTCCCGGCTTTGATTCCACGGTCGAGGTAAATGTTCCAAATTATCATCATCATTATTGTAAGTGACCTCCATGAAGTGAAGTGAAAGTTAGTATTTATAATATTAATTAAGATTGCATAGGTCATTAGCTAATTAAGGAAAAGCTATTAATTAGGAGGTAGTGAGTGGACGTAAAGTAATTTATTAAATGTTTACGGTTGGCAAAACAAGGAGTAAAGAAACTAAAAGTACAATAATTTATTTTGAATTATAATATATAGTTATTTATAGCTAATGGATTTTTTATGAAATCAAATTCTTATTCTTTAAATTAATTATTTTGCACTGCGTAACCACGATTCTAAAAAATCCAAGTTATAAAATAGTTTTTTGTTTACCTACCTACCTCAATTGGGATCATTAAAATTAATTAGGAGTTCTTCTTATCAAAACATACAAAAACAATAGCACTATTGTTAGAAGTTGAATTAATTAATGCTGATACATATCAGCGTTAAGAATAGATACTCACAGTTGCTTGAGACGTGGCATTCATTCAGGACACACTGGTAGATTATCCAGGACTCCAGCTCAATCATAGTAGAAGCCGTCATTTTAACCACAAAATACGCACTGACAATTAGTAATAAAGTCAATAATTACACACAAGGTATCTCACGGTCTATCTAATATAATTTCAAAACAGTTACAGGCCATTTATGTTCAGTCAATAATTTATAAATTCGAATTTTGTAAATATTTCGCGCAACAAACAAAGCGGATCCACTGTTTGGTCAGCGCCCACTTGCTACCCGAGCTGAATGATTTTGATTGGGCCTACGGCCCGCCCGACAAAAATCCGGAAGTTGATTCAGTGCTGCCATGCCAAACCGTAAAAGCTCCAAATGTATTTCTCAAAGTTCTGGGGTAATATTTATTATTCAAAGTTTTAAGAGGACCTAAAAGCTCGTATTTCAATAATGTTATGTATTTAGAATGCTATTACAGTAGCATAAATATAATTCACGGTACGGTTATATTTTTTCTCAGTAGCAGCATTACGGAACGCGAAGTTGTTTTGTTTGTATTTATATAAAAGTATTTTTTGTCTAGGCCCGAAGCGTTATTAATTTACCCGTATTTTAGCTACTTTACAAAACCTGGTAACATTTTAACCATAGACTAGAAGTAGGGCTGCCAGTATTTGACATCGCTTTATTTTTATTATCAATTGAATACTAATTGACACTATTGTAATCGATTACTCAAAAAAAGGATTTCAAGAGGACTCATAAACAGGATCTACTTTATTACTTAAAGCTAAGTCCAAGTAATAAACGACGTAAAATCAAATATTTAATGTTTAAATGACGGCTTATGAGTCATAATAAGCCGTCCTAGGGGCATTCGGAAAATAACTACCTGCTTCATCTTCATCAACATAATAATAACATAATTTAGTTGCGTGAGACGGAAAAATTAGTCTCACTCAACTACATTATTTTGATGATGTAGGTACATGGTAGCAATCCCATCAGTAATAATAACTTTATCAGGTAGTTATTTTCCGAATGCCCCTAGACATTTTGCTTAACTTTTACGCTGATTTCAATCCTAGTAATAAAAACAACAGAAAGTAAAATAAAACAACATTTCACGATTAGCGCGCCCCCTATAATATCGATACCGTGATAAAATCGAGTAAATAGTCGAGTGGTGCAGCTCTAGATCTACTGTCATTGAACTGTCACTCACTTACAGCTGTCAGATATTTCTCGTCTATGGACGACTTCTTACAAGAATTCAGTCGCGTAGAAAGTGGTGTGTTTTGTAAATATTGTAAATAACTGAAGTGTTTTGTGCTTAGCAATCTCATATCAAGTTCAAATTATTAAATTTGTGTTCTATGGATTAGAGAGTTTCAAAGAAGCATAAATTTCTCCCCAAAAGGTAAGCAATTACTTTTTTACGAACACGCAAAGTACGAAACACCTGTCGTACAGTCGTTCGTATTAAAAATATTTTTATCGCAAAATAATGTAACTTGCCTAGAAAACTTGATCCACTGTAGAAAGTAGTATTTATAGTAATTGACATCTGTAAAATGGATTTAAAATAAATTTTACGTTTGTATTTTGGCTACACATTTTGTACGCAACCTTGAACACCGCAGTCATCGCCTAAATTGACTTTACGTCCCAACGCAAAAGCGTACCTGTACATAAATGGCATTCATATTTACTTATCGAATTGGAACCGCGCGTGAGCGCAAAACAACTTAATTCGTTACCTTTTAGAGGAAGCAGTCGCTTCAAAAGTATCAAGAAAATTATTAATTTAATTCCTACTTGTATATCGAAACAAATATCTTTATTTACCACCAATATTTAATTGACTTCTTTTAATAACTTATTTATTACATAGTACAAAACTCTAAACTTTATTGTATTATAAAACAAAGCATATTATTGTTCGGGTATTACCATGTGTTAACTAACACCATATGTGTGTGGAACTGGATTGAACAAGTAAAGCAGACACATTGCAGTGGAAATGTGACACTGAAATCCACACACTAGCAACGCTAAACACTCAATGCTAATATGTTACAGTTAAGTATTTTCCTTTTGTTGATTAAGTTTATAATCTGGTTGTTTTTTGACCTAAAAAAATCTATTATTTTTCATCAAAAAGCTGTGTAAATTAAAACAGAAAGACTTAACAAACAACACCAAAGTAAACAATTTGAAAGTAAAGTGCTAAAGAAAGTCATTAGTACCCAACTATCTTTTTTCCTGTTCGTTTTCCTAATTACTAAGTTTATTTTTGTTACACTTGCTTTGAAACTAAACTTAAGTAACAAATACATTAGTACAGAAAAAAGCAAATCAAGTTCTATTGACATCTAATGTATTTGCAATAGGGGCTGTTTTGCAACAAAAACAATCTGATGTACTGGCAACTGTATGTACAAACAGAATTTGTCTCACAAATGTGGATATTGCGATAAGATGAGTTATCAATACAAAAATAATATTTAACATTCCATGATTCACCAAGACAGATTCTGCATTTGAATCATTGAGGATTGTGAAAACAATGCTATTTTTTCACATAAATTTCCCGTATGATATCTATCACAATGTTTATAGCATTTGATAAGTTATCAGTCTTCTTATAATGATTCATCAGTCACGTTTGAGTTGGACGAAAATAAAACCATTTCATAATAATAACAGATAAATAAGAACTCAATGGCCTTGGTTAATTAAAATTAAAATATAAAGTTGTTTTTCATAAGTGGGGAATACCAGAACTATCAGACAGTATTGTTGTTTTATTTCAGTTTCTAAAAATTGAAATTGTGTGTTTGAAAAAGGGGCAGATGAAACATAATTAGTGCTTTTAACCACTGAGGTAGTAAATGCCATCTATCTTCACCTGTCCTCCATAGGCTTTATGGAGCAAATTGCAATAAAGTGACAATACCAGAATTATAAATATGTACTTAACTTTTACATAGTTTAAAATTATTTTATATTTCACTTAAGATAATTTATGAAAAATATTGTTAATATTATTTATATTAGTTTTAGAGACTAGAAACTAAATGTAATTGCTATTCTCATTATTTTTATTAATGTAACAATTAATTTCATAATAATTGAAAATATTGACTAGTTAATTAAATTTAATTCACATAATGATACTAGCTGAAGTTCGCGGATTCTCTTGGATTTTAACTTACCGCGCGTCTTGTGAATACTTGCGATCTAAAACCTTAAGAATTTATTTAATTTTCGCACAGTCCAATATGAAAAAAATCCTATCACTAAGTACGCCAATGTTCTTTTTCTAATTTAAGTTTTTGCGATAAATCGTAATCCGATAGTCCATGTTATTTTCCAAAGTCCGATATTATGTTTAAATAAAATACTTCTTTTAATGAACAAACTGACAGCGCTACTTTCGCAGTTATGCATAATTTTAAATTATTTACGTAAGTATTTATTACTTATTTAATTTTCGCTTGCACTTACATGATTTGTACCCATTTGCTGTAGTCTTATTATTATTCATTACCGTTTAGTTGCTCAGGCGTCATGCACGTCTCAAATGCTTGTTCTAAACCACAATTAGTACAGATCTTGTTTGAAAGAACACTAATTATGCATTTCTAACGAGTCGTTAGCGCAAATCAAACGTTTTTCCATTTTCTTCAAAGTTTGTTAGGCGCGCCATAAACGAACAACTTGAAGCAGCTAGTATCGGCTTCAAGTTGCGATTGCTTATCAAACTACAGTATTCTACGTACACACATACACGGTCTGGTAAAGGTCGCAGGAAGAGCCTGGATGCGGGTAGCGCATGACCGTTCATTGTGGAAAATCTTGGGGGAGGCCTTTGCCCAGCAGTGGACGTCATTTGGATGAAACGAAAACATACACGGAACCGCTCGAGCAGTTTTACCTACTGCGGGCGGATGGCACATCTTACACATCTTAAACATCTTACGGTCAAGCAGTCGCCAGGCATCCATTGACTAGATAGAGCTGTCGACTGCTCTCGCGCAGTTACCTCCGCCCTTCATTCCATGTCGAAAATGAAAATAAAATAAGCACCAATTGTTGTGGCAGTTATCAATGGCACCTTCAAGCTTGTTGAAGCCACGATAGCCGAACGGTGAAGGGGTCGGACTGGCCGACTCGTGATCCGGGGAACGCGGGTTCGGTCCCCGCCGCTCGACTATTGTGGTGAGCTCACCCGTGACACAAGCATATTTAGCTTAGAACGAGGGGCTGTGCAGTAACAAATTACTAATAATCTTTAAAAAAAATCTGTTGACTATGACTGCAAGAGCGGCCCGTGTATGTTAATCACTGACCGACTCGAGTCGTCTGTGTACGGCCGGCCTTAATCAATACCCTGCGTTTAGTAGTTCAATGAAACTATTACAGCGCCGATTCCACTTTCTCTTCGGCAATGACACGAGGTGCATGCACAATCAGACCCATGTTGATATCATATTAGGTAGGATGGCAAATCAAGCCGAACACTGCGGTATCTTATTGCAGTTGTTATAAGTGCGAATTTGCAACAAAAATGTAGAGTCTGATGTGCTGTAAACTGCTCACCTATTTATCGGTGCGTGTCTAACAGTCCCAAGTCTCAACTATTTAGTTCTACCTAGTTCCTATTTCTTACTAGGTAGGTGAATGAAAACATGTGTGATAATTAGCGGAAAATCACAATATTTAATACATAGTAAAAATCTAAAACTTTCAGTAAGTTGGCTTTACACATCCCAATGTAATATTTTAGCATTAACCCTATCACTGCTTCGAGACAACTTATTCTAGAATTAGAGGAAACAGTACATCTATTAAATAGATTATGTAATAGTTTTAACAACATTATTCCCCGATAAACGTAGTATAATCAGTGTTATGTCGATGTCTAAATAGGCGGGACAAACCGCAAGTCTTTTAATTATTTTATTTTTTTATTGATTAGACATAATCCCAGCCAAGCCACCCATGTTGATATCATATTAGGTACACCTATTTAAATAAAATAAAATAAAGTCACTTCTAATACAACTGCTGCGCTAATCGTTTTTGTAATGTTTATTATTAAGACATAAATGTTTCTCTGTAAGTGATTACATTGTAAATCGTTTTGAGACATAAATGTATCTTTTTAACCACATTTATTGGTGCGTGAGATACTACGGTCACGGGCATGAAGGACAAGTCTCAAGTTAACTGTTACTAGGCAAATATACCCAGTTCGAAGCGACAGACACTGACCTGTCGCTTCGACAAATATCTCGTTAAAATTTTGCGTAATTCATATCTCAGTCGTAACAACTTATACTTGTTTTGATTTGATACAATGCGGGTTCTGCGCTTATAATTGTGATTTATTGATCTAAACTTTTGTTTTAATAGATAACTTTTTGCAGTTGCGTAAAAAAGGTGACCGTACCAGATTTTTTATGTTTTTTATAAAAATAAGCCACAATAAGCAATAAATGGCGGCAATAATAGGCTATAAATGTTAGGAAACCACGCAATAACTTTTAACGGTTGAAATACCTGCGTGGAATATTTGCTGCGTGCGTTGCCAGATTATCGTGAACCATCATAAATTGGATTTGTGTTAATTGTAGCGATCGCATACTTGGTTCGTTGATATTAGGTCGGCAACCTCATCGATTAAAAATTCATCAACATACCAAAACGGCTAATAAATTTTAAAATAATTCCGCATGTGTTGTAATTAAAAACATTTTTGAAGTCTTTTACTACCGAGAAATTAAAACAATAAAAAATCTATTTGTTTGGCGCCCGACGTGTTAATATGGGATTCAATCTGTTTTTCTTTGTACATTCGTCATACAAAGTTTCCGGGCTTAGTCCAAACTTTGTGTGACCAACCCTGTTAAAAATAAACGTGAGCAAAACCCGAAAGTACATTATCCTTTGCAAGAACAAAAAACATTTCCTTCAAATGGAATTTGAAACTAAATACAATACAGCAAAACAATAACCGCGCACTAAACATCTGACGCAATGATTTTTACAAACGTACACTTCTTTTGCAATATAAGTTCATTGTCCTTTATTTTTTAACCCTATCACAGCTTCGAGACAACTTATACCCCTTTATAAGTTGACATTTAGTATGGAAATGTCATTTTAATCCAGGGTTCATCATAGGTTTACCTTTTTATTAATAAGGGGGATAGAGTCTGGAAACACTACATAACTATTAAATAGATTATGTAAAAGTAACTATTAAATAGTTTTTACAAACGTACACTCCTTTTGCAATGCAAGTTCACTGTCCTTTATTAATCTCGTTTGTATTAACAATACGGTTCGCATTGCATTTTTTGTTCACATGTTTCTGCTAACGAAGTTTCGTCAGTCCACTGCACCATTCAC